GTCTGATATCCTTAACCACTTCATACACTCAAGAAAATCGTGAACATTAATCTACCTGCAAAACTACACACCACACTGAGGACAGGTTAATAACTAATAAGATGCATCTACTAGCAAAAAATCATCTCCATTCATTATTGACTTTTGATCATGTGGGAAATTCTTGTTTGTAGCACAGGAAGTCTTCGACAGGTAAATGCCTGGTCATTCTTTGGGAAGAGTTTACTCATGCTTTTACCATTGCAGAAGTTCTATAAATACTCTCCTTTTTTATATTTTCTGCATGATGTCATAAACCTGAAAGAACACCTTAAGATTTCTTACTAGAGTCTGCTTTGCTGGTTGGATAGTTAAAGAGGGCAAGAGAAAAAGCATAGAAAAGAGGGATGCGATTAGTGTGTGTATATATATATCCAACTGAGACTAAATAATTCAACACTTACTTTTCTCTATTCACTTCTTTACAGGAAAAGTGGAAGATTCGGGTTCAGCTTACAAAACCTGTTACTTGGCCTCCCCTTATCTGGGGCGTGGTCTGTGGAGCTGCTGCTTCTGGTACTACTAGTACTAGGCACATATTCTTAAAACTCAATTGCTAGAGACATGTTCAAGGAGTATTTAAATGTCTCCTTCAACATCCCTCCCTAGATATCTCCAATTTCTATGTTCATATCCTGTTTGTTCTGATAAATTTTAATTTCCCAAACATTAAAGGAATGCAGTCACAACATTTAGTTATCAAATCATGAAATGCTCTTATATTTTGAATGTGAGAAGTATTGAAGACACCCCTAAACTTGACGTGAATTATTAGTTGCATTCCTGAACTATTTTCAACCTTAAAAACACCCCTTTACTTGATTAACTGTACTTAAATACACCCCCGCTCTTGCAACATGAGTGGAATATATTCCTTAATTCTCGCTAAGTTTAGGGGTGTTTTCAATACTTTTCTCGGCTTTTTATTAAGAGCCCCATGCTCCTAAGAGTTTGAGACCACTTGCTATGCCATGTGGCAAATCAGGAGTGTATCTAAGTTTAGTTAGTCAAGTAGATGGGTGTTTTTAAGGCAATCAATAGTTCGATGATGAAATTAATAATTTGCACCAAGTTCAGGGATGATGTTTTCCGTGCTTCTCTCTATTTTGAATTGAACACTTTATATTCATATAAACTTTGCCTCAGATGTAAATTGTCATCAGGCTGTGTAAACAAATATGAGATTATGAAGCCACAATCTGATTGCATTTCGTAAAAATACTTCCTTATCTCCTTATAAGAGAAAGGATTATTGCCCTGTGTTATAGCCTATTAGAAGTACATCAGCCGTGGCTTGGTGCCGTGCAAATGATACTAGATCTGCCATGACAGTATGTTGTCAGTTTAAGTTAATTTTTGATTTTTATACTTCATCGTATCTTTGTGGGTCACTTTGGCAAGGGAAACTGTTTTCCAATAAAAGCTTTTATTTATACAGTTGTGATTAGACAAATATGTACTTTGTGGGCTCTCTGCATGTATCTAATTTATTTTCGAAACCTTGTCATAGGGAATTTCCACTGGACTCCAGAGGATGTGGCCAAATCAATTGTTTGTATGTTGATGTCTGGCCCATTTCTAACTGGCTATACTCAGGTACTTCTCTTGTGAGTTCAAGTTAATACTTTTCAAGATAGTATCTACTTCAGAAATCCTAGGAAGTAACTTTTGGCTTTATGTTTAGACTATTAATGATTGGTATGATAGAGAGATTGATGCTATTAATGAACCGTACCGTCCAATTCCTTCAGGGGCAATATCTGAACAAGAGGTATGTCTTGTTTGAGATTGTCTACAGATATGTTGAAAAGTGAAAACTAATTCCAGAAATTCTCTATGTTCTCATCAAAATATTGTTGATACCAGGTCATTACTCAAATATGGGTGCTTCTTTTAGGAGGTCTTGGTTTAGCTGGTATTTTAGATGTGTGGGTAAGTCCTTAAATCTGCTAATTATCTAGTTATTTATCTGGAAACGTCTCAATTCTATGATCGTTGTTGTTATAGGCAGGGCATGACTTTCCTGTAATATTTTACCTAGCACTTGGTGGATCCTTGCTCTCCTACATCTACTCAGCTCCACCATTAAAGGTAATATCGTTATCTTTCACAATCCTCTGAACACACTTTTTTGTACAGTATCAAAATGTGAACAGCTTTGATATAAAAATTTTTGTGCAGCTCAAACAGAATGGATGGATTGGAAATTTTGCTTTAGGAGCAAGTTATATCAGCTTGCCTTGGTATATATCAAACTTTCTTCTAAGTACTCTGCAACTTATCGAGATTTACTTCCAAAAATAGAAAGAACCTGTCTAAAGTGGAGCAGTCTTAACAAGTTACCTCTCATAATAATAACATGGCCTTACATATAGAAAAGCTAATAACCTGGCCTTCCCTTTGGCTCCGAGTTGCTGCCTCCATCCTGTTTTTTATGACAGCTTTATCAGGGCTTATTTTCATTTACTTATCTATTCATGACGATAGAAAGAAAACTTTAATGTCTACTTAAAAAGAAAAAGGAAACTTTTAAGGTAATTTTTTACTTGTGCGTAAAATTATTCTGGGGAAGTATAGATTATAGTTGTTTATGATATTTGAACAACAAAAACTTAGGTGTCTAGATTAACTTCTGTTTCTGTGTATAATTTTCTAATAGTCGAGATAATCCAGAAAGGGAAATCCATGATGTGAGACGGGGTGGGGGGAGGGTCTTATCTGTTTGCACTTTGCCGTATAAGAAGGTTGATTAGGTGAACTATTTCTCCAATCATGCAAGTATGATCATGTTGAATGTTAACCTAAGTTGACTAGGCATCATTTGCTTGGAGACTTGGTAGAGAAGTTTGTTCTCATTTATTTAGTCCCACAGATGGGATCATGTGTGACAAAAATTACCTTTTTGCAGCAAAGAGCTTTTATAAATGTATTACTTCAGCGTTTTGGTTTGTGTTCAGGAGGGAAAAAGTTTCTTATTTACTATGTAATGCATAACCCTTTTAATTTCTTGATGTAGGTGGGCTGGTCAAGCTTTGTTCGGGACCCTTACACCTGACGTAATTGTACTAACACTATTGTACAGCATTGCCGGTGTAAGAGTCTGCAAAAGCACCTTTGTTTTATTTTCTGATCATGCATCAATAGTCATCTTACCTTTTGTCTATTGTTTTGCAGCTGGGCATAGCCATTGTAAATGATTTCAAAAGCATTGAAGGAGATAGGGCTATGGGGCTTCAGGTATATATCTCCACTAAGTTTGAGTTTTCATACACAATCGGGCATATCTATGACCATACTGACTTTCTTATGACACTATTTTTAGTCACTTCCAGTAGCTTTTGGTTCTGAAGCTGCTAAATGGATTTGTGTTGGTGCCATTGACATAACTCAGATATCAGTGGCAGGTGATCGTTGTTCTTGTTTTATCAACAACTGTCAGATCTATATATGTTAACACATGATGACCTTCTGGTCCTCCTAAGTTGTGTATCTTCATTGAAGCTTGTGTCATTATATCAATATATTATGTGAAAGTAAGAAATGGATGTTAGGTGATAGCTTTCTGAAATGGTGATTGTTGACGATAGAAATGATTACTAACTGCCAGTATTGACGTGCATGGTAGACGCTATTAACAATCTCCTCGACTTCAGACTATATGAAAATCAAGAGAAGCACCAAGGGTGTGGCCTAGTGGTCAATAAAGTAGGCTAGGAACCATAAGGTCTCAGGTTCAAATTCTAGCGAAGGTAAAAAAACTTGGTCAGTTCTTCTTATTTGTCCAAGCTTTGGTGGATAGAGTTACCCGGTACCTGTTGTGCTGGTGGGAGCTAGTAGGGACCCCGTAGATTTAGTTGATTTGTGCACAAGTTTGCTTGGACACCACAGTTTCTTCTTAAAAAAAATACAAACCAAGAGAAGTTTAGTTTCTGCTACCTTAGAGAGGGTAATCACTACATTTGATTGTTTGGAATTCTCTCTTTGAAAGTTAGAGCTGCAGATTTATGTTGCTTGAAAATTAGGGTGGTACAAAGGCTACTTAAGTGCTGTCAAATCCAGTCACAAACTAAAGCACCTAAGATCATCTAAACTTTTCTAAGTTTAGGCCAAAGTAAGCTTTCATTATGCTAAAGATAATGGCTATCATTTAGGAATATACTTTTCTGAATGTGGACAAATTTATGCCTTAAAACAAGCTTGTAACTGCATTATGTCTTGTTTGTTGCAGGGTATCTTTTAGGTGCTGGCAAACCCTATTATGCTTTTGCACTTCTAGGTTTAATTGCTCCACAAGTCTTCTTCCAGGTAACGCCTTATCGTGCTAACAGAGCCACACAATTCTAATCTAATCACTTGAGAGTTTGACTTTTATACACCGACGTAGAAAGAAAGAAAGGCTGGCTTACATAATTGGATTCGAAAAGTGTGGATCAGTTGCCTGATAAAAGTAGATATATGACTTGGTTCTCTGCAAGGAAAACGTGATCTAACATGTAATTCATTTTGGCTCTGCAGTTCAAGTACTTCCTCAAAGATCCAGTAAAATATGACGTTAAATATCAGGTACCTTCGGCTTCCTTTGTACTACAACTTAAAACGTCGGAAATGTAAACCATTAGTCAATCAGCTCTTAATTTGGATTTGTCAAACTAATACCAATTGTATCTCATTTCAGGCCAGTGCACAGCCATTTCTTATACTTGGTCTTTTGGTTACTGCTTTAGCAACTAGCCATTAATATTCAAGTGGAGATGCCTTTTCCTCCATGGAGATGCCAAGCTGCTTAGAGCAAACAAAGCTCTTTCTATTTAATGACTTGTGTTTTACTTTTCCTTAAATGTAGAATGCTAGATTAGGATGTAAAATTTAATTTAATTTATGCAGATTTTGGATGATTTTTATTATTTATTTTAACAAATTAAATAAAAGTTGAAACGCAAGAAGAAATTGAATTTGAACATAGAAAATGACGTTTATTAAAAATGAGTACAACTCGCATGTCTTTATTTGATACACATACTACCTGCTGTATCAATCATCATATATTTCATTCACTCGAATGGATTTTTTTTTTTGTAGATTTCTTACTATTAGATAGTGTCTATAAATCTCATAATAAATAGCTAAAGATTTCTACTCCATAATAAAACAGTTCATAACTCTTGGTACCTTATTCATAACTAAACGTACAAGAAGAAAACTAGCTAAAACATGAAATACTACTCCATAATAAAAGAGTTCAAGCAACTACATGTCGTGTTGAGGGGGGGATTTCTCAGTATTAGTACTACTAAGTCCGCCTTTTCGACCCATTTCTTTGTAGCCTTGTTTCCCTATTTGCTCTTTCCTAGTTTGTCCTCCTTTTTGTCCTAGCTCTTGGTATCCTTCTGTTCCTAGCTGCTCCCTTCTTGTTTGACCTCCTCTGCTTCTACCTTGAGCTAGATGTTCTTGAGCTTCAAGGCTTTTTCCACCAGTGCCACCAGGTACAACTGTCTCTCCCTGTCTAGCTCTAGCATCAAGTTGAGATCGTTCTTCTTGTTCTGATGCCATTCTAACTTTTTTTTTCTTTTTCTTTTCAAATATAAAATGAGCAAGCTAAGTTCATAGAGGAGCGAGGTATATATATATATATATTTGATGAGTTACGTGTCAAAACAAAGACACACATATGCATGCACAATGACACGACTCCTCTCTACTATTTTCCCACCGCATACATTTATATTCATATCAAACAAACACTTCAGATACTCAGGAGTGAGTATGTGAAACAATTATATACGTATATATATATAACGGTTAATAAATAAAACTAATTCGAGTCATTTCATTTATATGTGGTCATTTAATTTAATTATTCTCAGCATCTTTGCAAACTATCCAACTACTTCTGATATTACCTTCCCATTTTAATGAAACTTTCAAAATTCAAATTTGAGCTTGTCAATTTAAAATTTTCATCCAATCACCGTAAAAAAATTTCCACTCATCTTTGCAAGTCAAAAATGACTCTAATCAAAAGGGAGAGAGCAAGGAAAAACGACTGAAAATACGAAATGATCCTGAGGATAGTTACATTTAAAATTTTCTATAACTCATTTTTTATATTTGCAATTGAAATAATTAGCTAATTTGATAAACCAATACTTAATTATTTGAAGTACTATTTAATGATAATCCGTGCTGTGTGTACGTGTTCAATAACATTAATTTTATATCTATAATTTATTTAAGTCATAATTACAATTTACATTTTTAGTTATAAAATATAAGAATAGTTCATCAATAACAAAAAAAATAATAGACATGTTTGTTAAGTCCTAACTCCCTTTTATATGTTTTTCTGTCTCAATTTATATGATTTGCCTTTTCTTTCCGATAGTCACAAAAAGAGCGATATTTCTAGATATTTCAGTAATAATTAAACTTAAAAGTATCTCTTTTATCTTTAATTAAATGATTAATTATATCCATACAAATATTTTTATGATATATTTTAAATTATAAATTTTAAAATCTATCTTTCTTTCTTAAATTCTGTATCAAGTCAAAATCTCTGAATAATATATTTTTGTTTTTTGAAAATATTTGAGCCAAAATGTATGGCCAAACAGAAAGTTGTCTGGATTTATTTTTACCCGCAAAGCGAATAGAAAATAATGTCTCCTTCTTGACTTTGACATTGTCAAAGTCTTTGCTCTTTGGTGTGGCATGCACATTATTTTATTAGTACAAAGTTAAGTTTATGAATTTGACGAGGCGATTTTGTATGGCTATATATTTTTTTTTAAAGAAATATCTAGAATAATATTTTTATTTATATTTAAGAATAACTTTTAAGTTAAATTTGAAAATTTGATGATAAAACACTGATTTTCCTATAAAATTAATATTTTTTATGACCAAACGGATAAATAATCCTCTTTTCTCCTTTCCCTCTCAAGTCCTAATCTACATTTAAAAGCACAGTGATTACAAGTAAACATCCTTACTGTTACAACTTGCAACATACACGACTGTATAGACGTCACGGCACTTTATAACCATTTGAATATTTATTGTGGTGGAAATGAATCTTTCTATTTTGGCATCCACAGAATTAGAAAAAAGAAAATTATTAGGAGTACTTTGATTAATAATCTTTTCACACGACACATGTAATTTCACAATTTTTTTTTTTATATTCAACATATTTATAGTTTAATATCATAACACTCTCCCATTCTATATTAGTTGATCATTTTTTTTCTTACACATATTAAGAGATAATTTTACTAATTTACCCTTTAAAATACTTTTTGAAAATTTTACAAATAAATGTGAACACTTTAAAAAAGAATTAATTGCAAGGATAATATAGGAAAAAATTAATTAATACTTTCTTGATTTAGTAAGGTAGACAACTAGTTTAAAAAAGATGATTAACTAATATGGAATGAAGGGAGTATTCAAAAATCTTCTTTATTTTGTTTAAGTTCTGCATTCAAATCAAATCAAATTTAAACGCTCAGAGTATAACATTCACAAAGCAAACAAACGACACCTACGGTTTTCTATTTATTTTTAGTTTCTCACATTATGTTATCCGCATTGGAGTCCCGACTATTCCTTGTTCACACTGCATAGGACCTTATCCAGAGAAAGCGATTCCTACTATGAATTTTTCCATAGCCAAAAACTCAAACTCGAAACCTTTGATTAAAGAAGTAGTAGCCCATCCATTGGTGGTAAGGTGTTTAATTTCTAGGAGTACTTAATTAGTCCAATATAATGGAATAGGTTGTGTATACATTATATTCCTCCAAATTACTAAACATGCAACACAGACAAATTGCTCTGTTTTTTTCATTTACTTGTTCTGTGCTAATAATCTTGACATCAACCTCCGCCCATCCCACGGCAGACAGTCCCGTATCTCCTACTACAATCACAAAAGGTACAAATATCGCCAAACCAGGATGCCCAAAGCAGTGTGGGAACGTTACAGTTCCGTATCCTTTTGGTATTGGATCAGATTGTGCCATAGACTCAAGTTTCGAGATCAACTGTACAGGGTCTGGTGCAACACTCTATAGATCACACATCAAAATCTACGATATCTCAGACTCTGAAATACGCGTATCAAATATGCTGTACCAGAGATGTTACTCAGAAACAGGACAGCTTTTAGAACCAGATAATCCAACATGGTTACGTTTCGAAAAATTAACACCATACAGTTTCTCAGCACTTAACATGTTTACCGTAATTGGATGCGATGAATCTGCTATAATGACTGGAGATAACTTTCGTAACGGATGTTACGCTTTCTGTACTAATTCCAGTGGTGTTAATGTTGTTGTAGGAAGGTGTATGGGTACAGGGTGCTGTCAAATAGAAATACCTAAAGGATTGAAATACTTCAGCACGACGATGGACAGTGTGGAAAATCACACCGGAATTTGGTCTATTAATCGATGTGGATACGCGTTTTTAGGTGAGGCAAGCCGATTCCAATTCAAGGGCGAGCATGATCTTACTGATAATAATCTTAAAAACAGGATTTTGGATAATGTTCCTATTGTGTTAGATTGGGCTATCGGAAATAATCTTACTTGTGTTGACGCACAAAAGCGCAACGATTATGCTTGCCTCGTTAATAGCCATTGTGTTGATTCCGACACTGGCCTTGGTGGATATCGGTGCCATTGTGACCCGGGATATGAAGGCAATCCATATATCCATCCAGGCTGCTCAGGTAACTTGATTTCATTGAAGTCGGAATTATCACTAACGATTTCAATTAAGTAAAAAATAAATAGAGATTCAACATCTGCTATATATATATATATAATTTTAAATATGCAATTTTCCGGTTCGAATGAACCCTTTAAGCTTAAATTGGATCCGCTTCCCGGCTGAGGCAAGCTAGATATCCGTCTAGGTAACTTGATTTCTTACTTTTAGTACTCAGGTTGAAGTCAGTGACGGAGTCGGAATTATTAAAATTGGCTCCGCCCCTGGCTGAGGCAAGCTAGATAAACTTCAACAAATTATTTTATTTCCATACTCTTACTAGAACAGTGACATTCTTTTCATATATATTACTCCATCCATTTTAATTTGGTGTTTTATAGTTCGTTTTGAATAGAATTTTCTTTCCTTTTTTTTTTTTGATAATTCTTTAATTTCAGCTTTCTATATGATATGTTTAATATCATAAGATCAATAAGGACATTTCAATACTTTCCTACATATTTTTAGCTTAAGACCAGGAAATTCAATTATTACTTTTTTACTTTTTTTAAATTTTGCGTCAATTCAAAATCATATAAACAAGGGGAAAAACTCAAATATGCCTCTGAATTCTGAGAAAAAGCTCATCTATGCCATCCGTTAAAAGTTTGCTCATTTATGTCATTTTTGTTTGAGAAAAGACTCATCTATGTCATTATTTGTTAACTGAAAATAGTTCTGCTTTTGCGAAACTATTTTTTATAGGTGGTCAATTATGATTCGGTCACGCCATTAATTACATCATTTTTAAAAGAGAAAAGGCTCAAATATGTCACCGAACTTTGAGAAAAGGCTCATCTATGTCATCCGTTAAGTTTGGCTCATCTATGTCATTTCAATTAACAATCAATGGCACGGATGAACCTTTCCTCAAATGGAAATGACACAGATGAGCCAAACATTTAATAGATGGCACAAATGAACGTTTTTTTTAAAGTTTGATACATATTTGAGTCTTTTCCCTATTAACCAATTGAAATGGAGGAATTAAAAAAAGTAAGAGGTATAAATTGAAAATAAGAAAAGAAATACTTTAGTAGGTTGGGTGTCAAGAAGGGTAGGATATCAAAATCATAGGGACATTTATATTTATTGTAGGATAGTGAGTGCCTTTTTAACACCACACACTAGAAATTAATGAATCGAAGTACCTAATTATCTGCCTGATTGAAGCGTGGACACAACGATAGAGGTGAAGATGACTCCTCACTAATGTTTTGCTCTCATCAAAATTTGACTAATTCAAACACTTATCACTATATAATAGTCACCCATCAACCTGACTTGTGGTATAGTGGGGAGGAACTATTCCAGATTTAGTGAGAGATTTTAAGTTTCGAACTCTAAATATAGAGAAAATTCTGTTAGGAGCGTCATCTCAAAATGGGCCTTGCAGTGCATGATTTAGATTTAATCAGAGCTCTAGTGTAGGATCAAACATCAAATTTAAGAAGATATTTTCTTTATCTTGTATTTAAACTAAGTTAATACATGTAATTTTACTAAAAATATTTTGCCTTATATTTAAACTTTTTTTTCTTTCATTCTCGGTAGGAAATATGGTTCAAAAGACACTCCAATTATAATCGAAATTATTATTACACACGCAAACTTTGCAAGAGTCCTATATCCCCTCTAAAATATTTTTTTAACTAGAATTACTCTACCCCTGAGTGCTTAGGTGACAAAGAAAATCTAATACACTCAATTTGAGAGAGAAAGCACGAAAAAAATGCTAAAGTTTTTTATTTTGCATAATATTAGTCGGAGACAAGTTTATATTGAGAAACATGGCCTAATTGTCCATCCTTTCTAAGTGTGATTTCTATGTTATGTATGGCCGTGCCTTAGGGCATATCGGTTGATTGAAGTAGATTCTGATTCATATGTAATGCTTAATTAGATACTCATAGTTGCCATTAATGACAAAGTAATTAATCCTGGAATTTTCGTATGGTATAATCACAACTTGTGCTAGTTGTAAAACAAAGAAGATATAAAGACAGAGCCAAAGGGATTAAATTAATGTGGTATGTTTCTCTGTTTGGCATGTTAGATATTGATGAATGTCGAAATTCAATTTCCAATACGTGTGAACACAACAATTGTATAAACACGCTGGGGAGTTACAAATGTTTTTGTCCAAAAGGATACACTGATGATGGTGAAAACAATGGTCGTGTCTGTATTGCAACAAACTCCGAGTTCCCATGGATCAAGTTTTCTGTTGGTAAGTTTCTCACGCATATATATATATATATATGTATATATATATTGAAGTGATCAAAGGAATTCACTTCCTGTTGTTATAAAACACAGGTATGGGAGTTGGCTTTATATCCCTAGTGGTTGGGACAATCTTGCTCTATTTTTGTATCAACAAACGAAGACTCATTAAAAATAGGGAGAAGTTCTTCCAACAAAATGGTGGTTTACTCTTGAAACAACAAATCTCCTCTAAAAAGGGTGGTGTGGAAGCAACCAAAATTTTTACAGCTGACGAGTTGAAGAAGGCAACAAATAACTATGCTAGTGATAGAATTCTTGGTCGTGGCGGAAATGGAATTGTCTATAAAGGTATTCTACCTGATAACCGTATAGTTGCTATTAAGAAATCTAAGACTGTGGATGAGAATCAAATTGAACAGTTCATCAATGAGGTACTTATTCTTACTCAAGTCAACCATAGAAACGTCGTGAGACTCTTTGGATGTTGTTTGGAAGATGAAGTGCCTTTACTGGTTTACGAATATGTTTCTCATGGAACTCTTTACGAGCATATCCACAATCAAAATGGAGCGCCTTGGTTATCTTTGCAAAATCGGTTGAGAATTGCTTCAGAGACAGCAAGTTCACTTGCTTACCTTCATTCATCAGCATCGATGCCAATAATTCATAGAGACGTCAAATCTACTAATATATTATTGGATGATGGTTACACAGCAAAAGTGGCAGATTTTGGAGCTTCAAGATTAGTCCCTCTTGACCAAACACGTGTTGCTACATTGGTTCAAGGAACGTTAGGGTACTTAGATCCTGAATATTTCCATACAGGTCAATTGACAGACAAAAGTGACGTTTATAGTTTTGGAGTAGTTCTTGCGGAACTTTTAACAGGGATGAAACCTATTTCGAGGGACACAATTAGTGACAAGGACAAATGTTTGGTGGAGTACTTTGTCTCATCGATGAACAAGAATAGCTTATTTCAAATTGTTGATCGTAGAGTTGTAAGAGAAGGAGGTCTTGAGCAACTTCAAAAGATAGCTGAGCTCATTAAGAGTTGCCTTCACTTGCACGGAGAAGATAGGCCTACGATGAAGGAAGTGGCTATGGAACTTGAGAGTTTAAGAAAGTTCACTAGCCTTTGGACTAATGGAAACGAACATGAAGATGAGAAGGAAGTTGAATTAACAGATCTTTATACAATTCCAATTGACTCTAATATAGGTATGGACAACTTCTCTGGACAATATCCTAGCTCCTACATAAATAGCAGCACCATCTTTTCTGGACAATATAGTTCGGATAGTTCTTCATTACTACACAATACAAATATCCCGCGGTGATCGATCCAGAATAAAAGGTCAATATATATGTGAAGATTTTTCTCTGTTTTGTAAGTTCCTTTTTAGCTATCTTTCTTTCTTGTTGAATGTTGTTATGTATTTTTATTTGCGTCTGAATTTAATAATCAATTTATTGTTGATTGTATTGTATTAGTGACAAGAACTTTTAGTACATTGAGCTTTAGAAATTATTTCCGCAGTTTGAGTTCACAATGTTCTTAAATTTAAAATCCAGAAAAATTCAAGCTTCCTCCTCCTTCAAGCTCTAACATGGAGTTTGTGAAAAAATGCTCATCTTTACTACTTCATCTAACCTGATTTCCCTAAAAATCTATAATGTCTCTTGTCATGGTTCGAGCATTGAAGAACTACACTACAACAAAACAAAAGAAACCTTTAGTGGCAATAATTTTTCCATTTAGCGGCAATATTAAACATTTACCTATCTTATAATTACACCTAATTTTGACAATGTATCGTCAAAATCTATCATGAATGATAATTTTGAAAACTCATAGGAAGGTACGTAATTAAACCCTAAACTAGCGAGATTTGGTCTAATTTTAAATGGTTTTTAAAGATTATTGCTTATAGTCCGTGATTAGAAACTTTGTAATTAATGTAAAAAACTTGTTGACTACTTTGCTTAGAATGAAATGTGAACGTAAGAAAATCGAATTTTTAATTTTGGTTAAAATTCTAAATGAAAAGATACTCTCCTCAAGTTTGTGTATGTTTGTGTCTATACATTCAATTGAAGAAAAAAAAACATAGATCATCTTTAGTATCAAAAGAAGTAATAAAAACTCATATATATATATATGTATATATAGAACAAGTGTATTAATATTTTTAAGTACTTTATTAAATTAAGATCAATTACTTGTTACATTGATATGTTTATTCTTTTCCTTCTTTATGCATACACCATTGATATATTTTATTAAAATAAGTATTTTACTGTGACGATAAACGAGTACACACCCTGGCATCTTTATAAATTCTGCCTGGTCGACAAAAGTAACCCTTCTTTGGGGCACAATGAATATCTTGAGAACAAATGCATAGTCCTTCTAAAGCACACCCTTCTTTGACTATGGTCAACCCATCTTTTAAACCTAAAACTTGATTTGTCCACTCACTTGAAAATAATCCTAATTGGTCATAGCTTTGCTTAACTTCCAAGAATTTATCAACATTTTTGTACTTGTTGATTGCACCAATGAATGCTACATTCCTATTTTTACCCCAATGTGGCAATGCCCCATATTTGAAAAATGCTAGTTGTTCTATCTCTTCAAGAAAATCTTCAAAGAGTCTAGGGGACATTGGGTCCTTACTTCTATAATATGTGATATCAAAATCCAAAGCATCTTCTTGTTTACCTAAGTAAGCATTTGAAGTTGTAACATACCTAATGAGGATTCCATTGTATAAGTCAAGCACACATAGTGCTCTAGGCTCTAAAACAACTAGCCTTTGGACATCTTCAATAAAACCTTTGACTTTGGATAAGCTAATGCTAAATGCTGTTTGGTGAACAAATAGACCTTTAACTCTATGGTCCCAAGGGCATGCTGTGATTCTTGCATCTTCAACACTGTCTAGACATGTTCCTGATGCTTGGAGTCGATTCTGAAACCCAACCACTGGATAGCCAGTAAAGGCAATACCTGATAGAATGCAATCAAATTATTAACTATGTTGCTTGGACTCTTTTAAAACATCATCAGGGCATGCCGGATTTTATAAAAGTACTAGTGTATTTTTGGAGAATCTGACACAGTTGTGGAATTGACACAACTTAGACTATTAAAGTCTTTAATACAAGTTAGATGATCAATCAGACAAGTCTTTATCGATCAGAACAGTATATGAAGTTAACATCCTATATATATTATTTGTACGATGGCATGATGAAAGAATTAACTAACCATTGTTTGTCAACCCATAAGCACCAATCTTCAATGTGGAAGTGGTTAATTTTGCACTTAAGCATTTTCCATCAGCATCATTTGTTGATTCTTGATTCTCCTCTGGTAAAAAAAGAAAGTATTAGAATAAAGTAAAAAATGTTTACCATAAAGTTGAAAAAAAAGGTAAATTTGAAGCAATTTATGAGTAATTAATTACCCGTGGTTCTTAAAATGGCGAGGACGAGGGAAGGTATTGAGCGAAATCCAAGAAAGGCATTAAGGGCATTGCCAGGAGTGTTGGTAGGAACTCGATCATCAATCCTATAAATAACTTTACGTTGACTCGGATACCATGTAAAGTCTGCAAATTCATGTTGTCTCCCAAAGGTAACTGCGTCTTCCCCTAAGTTTGAGTCATCCCTTTCAGAAAGGGTAATTGAACGTTTGAAAACTCGTTCTAGTTTTAATGTCACCTAAATTTAATTCACACGCATACATAAGGACTGAAATATTTGTCATTCAAAAGTTATGTTTGATTTTTTTTACTGTTGTTGGAAGAAGAATTAAATATGCTTATCTAGTATTTTATGTTAATTCAGACTTATATCCATACATTATGGACTTGAAAGTCAAAATGAGGAAAAGAATCAAGAGTGGACGTTTGATTCTTTGATTTCATAAATAATGACATAGATGAACTTTTTTTAATCAAAAATGATATAAATGAGCCAAATTTTAATGGATGACATAAATGAGCCTTTTCTCCAGGTTCAATGACATATTTGAGTTTTTTTTTTAATCAGTCTACAAAAAATAATATATTTTTCTATATAAGAAATATTTAGTGACTTTACTATGTTGGGTTTCACTTGTTTCGCAAAAAGTCAGCAAAGATATATTATTCTGTTTAAAAATTTATTTATTTTAAAATTAATTTTGAAACATGTCAAAGGGTTTCTATATATATTTCTTATCTTAAAATTGTCTCAATCAAACTACACCATTTATGAATTATGTCACTGCAAACTACTACCATTTTTGTCAATATAGTACATGGATTTTAATGGGGTATAATGGGGTTTGAAAATTCACCCCTAAGTACTTTTCTTGGAGTTTGGTTTGAAAATCCTAGTTTGGTTCATAAAAACTCTAATATTACTTATTAATATCATAATTTGCTTTGTATTAATTATATAATATGATCTAATAAATCCATACGTACCTGTGAAACAACTCCAAGAACACCTAGTGACACTCTAACAGCATTCAGCTCAGGGCTCCCATTTTCCAATATACGAACTTTAGTATAATTATTTGGCGCATCAGATGGTGTAACAATTCGAAGTTGCACAATATAATCATGTACCGAACTTCCCAAACCCCAAAGAGAACTTCCATGAGCACCCGTCCCAATTAACCCACCAATCGTTATACCCCACCAGTAAGGCGTGTAAGGCAGGACCAATCCTGCCTTACCCGCCTCACTAATTAATTGTCTCAAAGTCACCCCACTTTCAACGGTGATACTCATGTTTTCTTGATCAATTCTTAAGATCTTATTTAGGAATTTTGTACTTATAAGTAATCCGTCTTGAACACTATCGTCTAGACATACTAATTTAGGTATGCTATGAGAAAATCGAGTGGCGATTTTCATTTTTCGATTTTCCCTTGTTGCATTTGCTACTATAGAAATGAGCTCATTTTCTGTGGTTGGAAAAACAGCTTGAGCTGCCTTGCAAATGGTTCGATCTGGGAAGGTACCGTAAGAGTTTGTAATGGTGCAGTTCAAATTGGTGTTGTATGAACATTTTATGGGATCTTCAGGTGGGCTAGATTTCACTAAGTAGATCACAAAGAAAAACAAACTTAGTTTTATGATTTTTGTGTCACTCATGACTAGTAAATCAGAGAGAAATACATGTATGATGTGTCTACGCAACTAACACTATTTATATAGGCAGACGTCTCAATGAGAAGGTGAGAGAGATTGGTTATAGGAGAGACAAGAAGAGGTAGAGGTAAACTGGAGAAGTATTGGAAGCTGATTAGATATAGTATGACACAACTTTTCAGATTATTGAGGACATGACCTTAGATATAGGAGGGTGTGCGGTAGAAGGTTAGTAGGTAGTGGAGAATTGTTTTGCTTTTTGAAGGTTTATGCTTGTTTGTGTTGGTCGTTGTATATACTAGCCATATTATTGTATACATAGTTCCTGTTTTTGATATATCATTGTATGTGGTTTATTGTGTTGCTATTATCGATTATTTTGTCTTTACACTGTTGTCTTTGTTGGTTGCTATATATTTTTTTTACACTATTTTCTTCTTTTTTGTACTTGAATTTAATGCACTTAAATCGAGAATCTATCGAAAATAATATTTCTAGCTCCACGAGATAATAATAAAATATGCATACAATCTCCACTTGTGAAATTATATCGTATAGGTTAGTTGTAGTATATTTAGAGAGCATCTTGGAGGCAAAGAAAGGGGGACCACAAAAATATTTTGCTATTTAAGACATGGATTATGGCATGCCAACCCTTCCTATAATCTAGTAGGAGAATAGCCTTGCACGTTAGACAATAAAAAAAAATTAAGCCAAAACAAATTTGCATTGCAATATTAACATGGCATTATATTATTTGGTTTCTGACTAAGTTTTTTGAAAACATCCCTAATTTGATGCAAATTATTAATTTCATCTCTAAATTATTGATAACCTTAAAAATATTTTTATATTTGATTATTAAATTTTAATACGCTCTCGATCTGCTACATGATATAACAAGTGGTCTCAAACTCTTGTAGGAGCATGAGACTCTTAATAAAATACAAAGTGAAGTGTTGAAAACACCCCAAAATACATATTTATAGCATTTAATTTGAATTAATAGTTTGCTATTATATACAATTTTTCCATATTTTTATCGTTAGCAGCCTTCTCCTCTATCTTCTTTTCAATCCCATTTTTTTCCCTTTATCTACTGTAGCTATTTATTTATTTATATTCTTTATCTACCTCCTTTCCTATTTAACTCTCTCTAAACTAAATATATATGTTCCAAAAATAGAATGTATCTTTTTTTATTTTCTTATTTTATGTAGTGTGAATATGAATATTTTAAATAGATTGAAGTTCGATTTTTAGACAAGCTTCTATATAAAATTCATTTACAATTTACATAAATTATCTTTTGGAAATTTGTTATAATAAATACCTCTATTTTTGAAATTC